CCGGGATGTGGATGGTCAAATCTGAGGACTTGCTTGGTTTTTGGTCATTGCCAAACCCCCAGTCCCCCCACAGTCTTTCAGCCTTGAAGCTAGCTGATGGCTTCTCTCTTCCTGGTGGGGAGCGTTGGCCTGCATGGAGGTTGGTGGCAGTGATGAGATACAACGCAGATGGCCTGTTGTTCCGAGCTGTCTGGCTCAGCACATCCTATGGATCAGATTCATACATTCATAGCCTGGAGCAAGGAGAGAAATCTGGACCCCGAGCTGAAGGGCTGCAGGCAGTGCTCATGGAGCAGCATCCTGGGAAGACGGTCCCTGGAGATAGTATGGAAACTAGGGTGCGTGCTGCCCCCAGAGTGCACAGGGGGCTCATCAGGGACTCAAGGAGATGGAAATGGAGGAGGATGATCTCTGAAAACAGGAAGGGGGCAATGCTGGCTGTGTAGGCCTGAATCTTGGGCGTAGGCTGGTGCGGCGGAGCCATTGTGGTTGTGGTGCTGAGCTGCCAGCTCACAACCCTGTGACTGCAGGGGAGGAAGCGGCCTGGAGCCTGCGTGACAGGAAAATGACACTGTAGGCTCTGTTCTCCAAAGGCAGTCACGATGCTGGGGTGCCCTGAGCCAGCAGAGAGCAAATGCCCAGCGCGGGGAAAACTAGTCTGGGTGTTGCTTTCCTTCACAGGGAGGAGTCATCTGGGCTGTGTTGCTTTTCTGTACTGGTCAGAACATAGATCTGTTTTAATGAGATATGGCGAAGAGTGGAATGAGGGACTGATGATGCTGGAAAGCCCAGATGTATCTGCATGGGGCTGGTGCCTCCTCCTGCCTGGTGGTCTCTCCAGGCCGGGGTACCCAGCGCCTGTGTACCTGGTATGTTCGAGAGGCCTAGCTACAGCATCCCGAAAGGGAAGCGCACTCTCCCTGCAGTGTTTCTCTCTGTGCTTTCCTCAGGGATTTGGGGGTTTTGCTGGCTGGGGAGGACCGACCTTGCCTCGTGTCTCTGAGTGTTGCCCCACACCTGCTTCTCATCCACTTCTGCCTTAACGGGCACTGCTGGGGAGGGTTTTGCCAGCAGACAGACATTTTTCCACCCAGTAGCATCCCCACAAGTCAGGACCTGCAGTCCTTGCAGCACATGGTCCCTTGACCGTGTTGTTTCCAGTGCCTACATCTCTCTCCCTGGCTGCTTTTATCTTGGTTTAGTTGTTTTGTGGTTTCCACTGGCACTCTGATCAACACAGGGACGGCGCAGACTGGCCCAAAGTCCTCCCAACTGCAAATCCTGTATTATGGATATGTGGATAATGGCTCTGAAGTTAATTCACATGTGGCTAAGTTACTGTTGCTGTGGGAACGTTAATACTGAAATTCTTGACTGGTGTGTGTAAAATTAGAGCTCTTACCACCCGTCCCTGCTCACTGCTCCCGTGGTGCAGAGCTCCTGTTCTGTGATTTGCTTGTGAGGGTGGCAGCCCTTCTGTGAAGTGGCAGTGGGATCAGCCCTGTGCAGGGTAAGTGAAGCTGTAAGCCTTTCTGTTCCCTGAGCCAAGTCCAGAGATCCCTGGGAAACTAAGGCAGTCACAGTGGCCTCGTCACAGATGCCCAGCTGCAGGCAGCACCACCTGACATGCCGCTGCTGCACCACCCTCATTGGTGCTCCTTGCATGATGGCAGAGGGTTTCCTACCCATGTTGCTGGGTAGTGGTCTCAGCAGCCCCGTCGCCAGGCCTGATCCAGGTCACGCAGGGAAGTGAGGCCAAAGAGATGCCCAGTGGGGCCAGGTGGTGCAAAATGGGCCACGTGGGGTGGCACACTGTGGAAAATTGGTGGCACAGGTATTGGAGCAGGGCAGGGACCTGTCTATTCTCTTATTGATCAATACCGGGGATGTAGGAAAGTGAACCACCTGGGATGCCCTCATTGTTGGACCAAGAAGCTGTGTGTGCAGGCTGTATTTCTCTCATCGCTGCTCTTCTCTTCTTTGCCTGGGTTTACAGCCCTGCAGGAAGAATGACCGATGAGGGCTGTGAGCCAGAGCAATGCCCCCTTAGCATCTGTGTGCTCTCTCAGGTCCCTCTGCTCAGCCAGGGGACTTCTGCCATGCAGGTGCAGCACAGAGAGTGAATATGGGTTGCCAGCAAGGAGCAGGGAGTGGGGATCTTGGCAATGCTCCTGAGCTTGCAAAAAGGGGCTGGATGTGTCGTTCTCTTGAAAACTTCAGAGCTTTGTTCCCGTGGGAGGGAAATGGTTTCACAGCCTGCCTCAATCACTGAGCGAGCATGGTTCGCCCACTGGTGCTGCCTTCCTCAGGCTCGCGTGGGGTGAGCTGACGCTGCTTGTGTGGCTGTTTAGCAAGAATATTGCTGGGCTTCTCAGGGCTACGAGCTTTCTTGGAGGGCCAAAGTCATCATACAGCACTGCTTCAGTGGCGCTACCAGGCAGGACCCCAGCCCTGTGGCTGTGATACTTAGCTGCAGAGCCATGACAGAAGGTCTGGCTTGGCCCCAGGTGCCTTGTGAATCTGGCTGTGGTTGGTGCTGGAGCTGCAGCTCACACCACCCTCATGCTTGCTGCTCTGCCCTTGCCAGCTGTGGCAGTGTTCCTGGGGGGCTGCGTTATGGCAGGGGAGCAATCTTGTAGTTTGCTAGGATTGTATAGACAGGGTTCACCATACGAAGGAGCAGTGCAGGTCACTGTGAAGGACTGAACCAAAGAAAAGCAGTCCTTATCCTGCAACATTCAGTCGTGGGCTCAGAGCTGGTTGATTCTGCTTGGGAACTAGATCTTTGTCATTGACTTATCTCATCTAATTCAGTGCTCAGCTGCAGTCAAGGGAAGCAAATCAACTAAGAAGTGTTAGAAAGGAGTGAAGAACGTCAGGAGGCCACTACCTGAGCGCCCACAGTGTCCGCATCATGGGGATGCTGGGACTGGTCCCAGAATGGATAGAGCAGAACTGGGACAGGTTCAGGGGAGGAGAGCAAGGGCAATAGAGATATGGAAACCTACTAGGGAAGCATTGCCTGTTCCTGAGCTTCTCTCTAAAGCCATGGGAGATGAGACGCTGGGGCTAGGCAGACCTAGGATCTGTCCGTGTGGGTTCCCAAGGAGGGAAGAAGCCAAGTGTCCTAGGGTCTATGTGTGACCACAGCACAGCTTTCCTTCGAAAAGGAGACATGAGGAGGGATGAGTTGGCACAAGCAATGGACACATCTAATCCAGCTGAAGGGCTTTAGAGACTGAGTTTTGAGTGGGCAGCAGGGCTGAGCTTGCAGCCAAGTAATGGCTCTGTGGCTGCTCTGATGTCCCTTGTATCTGCTGGGTACCCAGAGGCAAAGTGCTCAGAGGTGGCTCTGGAAGTGCCTAGAGGAACCCACAGCCCAGGAGAAGATTTCTTTCCAATAACCCTGGTGCTCTCAGGCATAAGCCTTGTTTTAACATCACGTGAACAGCTTCCTAGCATCTGATGGACAACTTATGCTACAGAGAGGGGTGGACGTCACAAGTAATGACAAGGACTGATTGCGAGAACTCAGCTGTGAGGGCAAAACTGCTGTGACCCTCGCCAGCCTTCCCCCACAGGCTGCCCTTCGGGGGTAGCAAAAATACAGTACCCCATGCTAGGGAGGAGAATATACAGGATGGGAAGTTGTCCTTGTGGCCCTTCTGGGAAGCTGGTATGATTTGGGTTTACGTAGGATAACCTAGCCTTGGGGATCAGGCTGCCCCGGAGGAACAGGAGCTGGCTGGCCGGCATGGCATCCCGCTGCCTTGTGCTTGGCTGCAGGCTCATTACCACAGACCTGACAGATCAATATGAGGGCATAATCTGCTTTGTTTAAAAATATATATCCTATTTTGCAGCAGTTTAAGATTTGGTCCAAACCTCACATTGAATAAACAAATTACCCAAAGTGTCTGTAAATCTGCGGTTCCCATGCTCCTCCTTTTCCTATGTGCAGGTAGGTTCGCTAGTGCTGAGGAAGGCTGTGCTCTGGGGAGGAAGCTAGCTGACTTGCTTGTGCTGCAGTGTTTTGCATGCTGCTCTGTTAGCTCGCTCAGACAGCTGCAGACAAGGTCACCCCTCTGCCAGGGCTGAGCATCTGAGTGGGGTAAAGTGTCCCTGTGACCAGGATGCCCTCACCTGAACAGCAGCCAGCATTGCTTGCGACACTATAAACATGTTCATTGACTGGCTTTTTCCTTTAAGGATAGAAGCCAGAGGCCAAAAGAGAAAAATACCTAGTTGCTTAGCTTATTAGACAGTGGCTTAGGAGGAAAAAGAGGCTGCGAAGAGGCTGGGAATTGAAATCGTGACCTGAGAGTTTCCTGTGGCCAGCTAGCTGGAAGGTCTGCTGTGCACACGTGGCCACAAAATGACCTTAAATGCTCCCTTGTCCCCCTCTGTGGGCAGTTGTGCCCCAGCCAACCATTTTGTGGAGCCTGTGGATTCAGGATGCTCTGTCTACATGCCCCTTTTGCTGATGCTCACGTTCTTCCTTTCCTTCCAGTTTTCCATCTGTCGAGGAAGGTGACATCCGTCGTCCCAGAGAGCTGCCTCCTCATCCTGCTGGGGCTGGGCCTAGGGGGCATCGTGTTGGCTGTGGCAAAGAAAGCCGAGTACCAGCTGGAGCCCAACATGTTCTTCCTCTTCCTCCTTCCCCCTATCGTCCTAGACTCAGGCTACTTCATGCCCAGCCGGCTGTTCTTCAACAACATCGGTGCAATCCTCACCTATGCGGTGGTGGGCACGCTCTGGAACTCCTTCGCCACTGGCGTGGCGCTCTGGGGGCTGCACCAGGCCGGGCTTATGGGTGGGTGCACAGGGCCCAGAGCTGCAGGGTGTGGGGTGCAGCACTGGACTGGGCTATGGGCTTCCTAGCTTGGGTTGCACCATGGGCTGCATCTGCAAAATATGGGTTAGAGGGTGCAAGGTGCCCCCCAAGCTCAAAGGATCTGCCTGGCCCCAGTGCAGACTCCCAGCAGGTATTGCAGGAGCAGGCTGATGCTGGCATCCCAGGATCATGTTGCAGTGAGGATGTGCCTGGCGGCGAGTGTCTGCCGGGATGTCAAGTGTGCAGGAAAAATGGGCCCTGCTTGGCAATGGGCTGACTCACAATTTTGCTATTTTTGTCACCGACCTTGTCTAGCTATGCTTCCTTGCTGCAGAATTCCCCATCCTTGGCTGGAGCCAGTCCTGGCTGGACTGGACTGTGTTTTGAGCTCTCCTGAGCCCAACGAGCTCACTTAGTGCCTGGCCTTGAGATGGGGTTGCCCAGCTCTCTTTGGTGTATACCTGCCTGAGGTGGAATGATGATGCACCTAGGTGCTGAGGGCAACATCCAAATCCTGTTCCCCTCATGTTGCAGTGAGGATGTGCCAACCCTGCCTGGCCTTGGGTCCCCAGTGGGATGGGACCACCCCCTGGCTCAGCCCACTGTGCTCTGAGCTGAGACACTGCAGCCAAGCTGCCAGGAGCAGGTGGGGGACAGTCTTCTTTCAGCAGCAGGGCTGCTTCATCTGGTGAAAGGGCACTGGGGCTGATGGGGTGCCTCAGTGTGGTCCTTCTGTCCTGGCAGATCCGGGCGTCGAAGCTGGGCTGATGGATTTCCTGCTTTTCGGCAGCCTTATCTCAGCTGTAGACCCTGTGGCAGTGCTGGCTGTCTTTGAAGAGGTCCATGTGAATGAGACCCTCTTCATCATTGTGTTTGGCGAGTCTCTCCTGAATGATGCTGTCACTGTGGTGAGTTGGAGCTAGGGGAACCTTAAGGTGGAGCTTGGCGTGGGCTGGGGGTGCTGGAGTCCCCCGGAATAGGCAGAGAATGCAGATGACATCCCCAAACCTGGGAAGACTGATGCCCCTACTCTCAGGACCCCTCCTCTCTCCTGGCCTTGAGGGAAGGGGGCAATAAGCCTGCGCTTTGCCTACTGAAATGAGCTGTGTCCCCAGGCAGATGTGGGACAAACGATGCCTCTTCTGCAGGGACTGTCCTGCCTGCAGCTGCTGCCCCTTTCAAGGCAGGGCCATACCCTGCCTTCCTCAAGGGATTTGTGTTGCCTGCAGGTGCTGTACAAGGTGTTCAACTCTTTTGTGGAGCTGGGCCCAGCACACATCCATGCCACGGACTATGTGAAGGGGGTAGGTGAGTATGTGCCCCATCAGCCCCTCCATTTCTCCCTCCAGCACACGCGTATGGCGGGGGGCAAGCATAGTCACCATCATGCAGCAGGGTGGATGCTGAGCACTTGGAGCTCTTTGATACTCCATCCCAGCTGTTGTGTGGATCGGGCACGCATTGGTCATCACCATCGGATGGTGGGTGCTCTGGCAGGGATCCAGGCAGGAGCGTGGGGCTCAGCTGTCTCAGCATGGTGAGGCTGTGGGGCACAGGAGCTGGGCTTGCTTGCTTGTGGTGGGCCCCAAGGGTGCAAACGAGCCTTCTCCCCGCAGTCTCCTTCTTCCTTGTGAGCCTGGGGGGCACGGCTGTGGGGCTGCTTTTTGCCTTCCTCCTGGCCCTGATCACGCGGTTCACCAAGCGTGTGCGGATCATTGAGCCTCTCTTCGTCTTCCTCCTGGCCTACGTTGCGTACCTTGCTGCTGAGATGGTCTCGCTGTCCTCCATCCTGGCGTGAGTACTGGGGTGTTACTGGGGTGTCCCTCAGGGGGATCCAGGAAAGTGGGGGCACTGTGCTGAGCTGTGAGCAGACCTGCTCATCCTCCTGCAGTAGGGTCACACTGGCTCCTTCTGCCCTTCTGCAGGGTCACCTTCTGTGGGATCTGCTGCAAGAAGTATGTGGAAGCCAACATCTCCCAGAAATCCCGTACTACTGTCAAGTACACCATGAAGACCCTGGCAAGTAGCTCAGAGACCATCATTTTCATGTTCCTGGGCATCTCGGCTGTGGATACCTCCAAGTGGGCATGGGATACAACGCTGGTGCTAGGCACCCTGCTCTTCATCCTGCTCTTCAGAGCCGTGGGTCAGTCTGCCCGGCTGTGCTTCTGGCTGGTAGTGGCCAGCCCTTTCCAAGCCAAAAAGCAGTATCCCCTAAGAGGGCTAGGGCAGGGGGCCAGCCACAGCTCCTGGCCTGGGCTTTGTCCCATCTCCAGGAGCAGGCAGGGCTCTGACAGCATCCAAGGCTCTCTTTCCCCTTCTTCCCTAGGCGTTGTCCTCCAGACCTGTGTGCTCAACCGCTTTCGTCTCATTCCCCTGGACAGGATTGATCAGGTGGTCATGTCATATGGCGGCCTCCGTGGAGCTGTTGCCTTTGCCCTGGTTATCCTGCTAGATGGGGCGAAGGTCAAAGCCAAGGACTACTTTGTGGCGACAACCATCGTGGTGGTGTTCTTCACTGTCATCGTGCAGGTCAGGATGGGCACTGTGCCCCTCTCCTGGTCACCATGCTCCCCATCTAGTGCTCCCCTCTCACCCAAAGCCAGCTTGGGGGACCAGGCTGGTGCACAGTACTGGGTCTCCCATATGCTTGAAACATGCCCCTCTCTACTGCAGCTCGCTCACCCCTGAGCTGGGCTTGGCAGGACCAGGAGGGCTTAGGTCTGGGCCCCAACCTGTGTTTCTACAAACCTCTTGCCCCTGCCTCCTCTCTGTACTGATGGTGCAGCTTCTTCTGCTAGTGCTGGCTGCATGAGGGGCCCATGTGTATCCCCAGTGGGTTGGGGTGGAAGAAAGGGAAGGTCTGGTTATTGTCTTCCCTTGATGGAGAGCCTGCAACCCTCCAGCCCTGGCCCTCGGAGCATCTTCTCCTGCCTTGCCGCAGCAATGTGCTGTGCAGCTGGCATGTGGGAGAACTGGACTGCCAGGCATCCCATGAGCCTGCAGGTGCTTGCTGCAGTCCTCCTCTAGCTAGTGCTTTGCTTTTTGTGCAACTTTTGGTGCTCAGTGCCTCCCTGGCACCCCATAAAACATGTGCCTGCTATGCAGGACTGCCTGAGATGGCTGTCACAATGCTGGAGCCATGACCCAGGTTGTTTCCCTATTGCAACAGAGTGCATCTGGCCAGGCTGTTTTCTTTACAAACCTGCTGACTGCCCATAGCTCTGGTAATCCTACACCCCTGGAAGGTGGCAGGCCAAATCGATGGCTGAGCCTTCCCCTTGCCTGTGGGGAATCTGTACCATGGATCGATATGGACTAGGTGGGGGAGGTTAGAGGGGGGGGCTGCTCGCCTGGGCACAGGTACCCTTACGGGACTGTCCAGTCCCCAGGCTGGCCGTCATCTGGGGTCCCAGGCTCAGCGGCTCGGCTTGGTAGTGGTGCATATGGCTTGCACCAATGCTTTCCCTGGTCAAATCATGCTGCTTCTACTCCTGAGTTCCAGCAGTTCAGCCTCTCACTTTCTCAGTCTTTCCCTTGCCCTCTGCTACTATTCTAGGGCCTCACCATCAAACCCCTGGTGACATGGCTGAAGGTGAAGCGCAGTGACCACCACAAGCCCACACTGAACGAGGAGCTGCATGAGCACGTAGGTGCTGGTGCGGGGGCTGCCCCAGCTCCCCGCACCGCTGGGGCTGAGCGAGAGTGATTTGGGGCCTCAGTGCCACTGGGCATGCTCACCCCTGGCATAAAGGGTGCATCTCCACTACTCTCACCTTCTTCTCCCCCCTCAAGGCCTTTGACCACATCCTGGCAGCAGTGGAGGACATTGTGGGGCACCACGGCTACCATTACTGGAGGGACAAGTGAGTGTCTCACCTGGGATCCTCCCCAGGCCGTCAGGTGGACAGGGGACCTGCCAGCCACAGGGACATCCGCGGTCCCTGCTGGAGGACACCCCCACTCTAGGCAGGGCAGCATGAGCAGGAAGGCCGTCTGTCCCTCTGTCCATCCTTCTGGAAGCACACAGTCTGGCAATGGCCTTGCTTTCATGGAGCAGACCAAGGCCACAGAGGTGTCCCAGAGAGACGCTGGGCAAGTGTGAGGGGGACAGCTTGGCTGTGGTTCAGGTTAGTGTTGCTTGCTAGTATTGGAACTGCTCTGGGGCCACGGGATGTCTGTGATGCCTGGTGATAGTTGCCCCAGGGCACACCACGCTTCCCTAAGGATGGAGCTGCACTGAGGAATGAAGTCTGAGGAGGGACCAGTCCTGTTAAAACTTTGGGACTGTTTTTTTGCAGCACCATGACAGGAAAAGGATGCAAAAAGCCTGTTCCTTGGAGGGGAAGCACTCCGGCTGGGGAGTAATTCTGGCCCAAGTCCCATCCCCATTGCTATTTCTGCCCATCACTCCCTCAGGCCTGCCAGATTTCTCGCTTCCCCTTGGCCAAGGACAAAGAGTCAGTGTGTCCTCATCTCCCTCCTGGACCCCCTCCCCCACAGTGGTCCACCCCTGGGAACGGCCAGATCCTGCACACCCAACCTGCTTTTACCACGCTTTGAGCACTTGTGACCTTGCATAGGCAGGAGGCACATGACCTTGTACCTACTTGCTCCTTCATGGTAGCTGAACTGCCCTTGTCTTCATCTCATGCCAGGTGGGAACAGTTTGACAAGAAGTACCTGAGCCAGCTCCTGATGAGGAAATCTGCCTACAGGCTCCGGGATGAGATCTGGGATGTTTATTACAAGCTGAACATCCGTGATGCTATCAGCTTCGTAGACCAGGTAGCGGTGAATGGGCATGCTGCAGGAGCTGGGCCGGTGGGATGGAGCGGGATGGCCCTGACAGAGCCACCACAGCTGGAGGAGCCAGCTGGGTCCTGCCTGGCCTCTGGCCTGGAGTGGCAGTCCCTCTTGTGCATGACTGCACACATCCTTTCTGGCTGAGGTGTTGGAGAGCTTCTCACTGGTGCATAGGCCCGTGGTGAGACATCCAGCATGGCCATGTTTGTTATATGGCCATGCTGGTAGGGACAGAGGGATGCAGAGCCCATGATGGGCCTGAGGAACCACTGTTCATGCAGCTCCTTTGAGCACTGGTGCTTGGTCTGGCTGTTGGGACAGCTCTACAACATCCCCCAGGAAACATGCGGCGGCTCCTGCGGGTGTCACATGCCTCCACAGAGCACTCTGTCTTGCCAGTTTGTGGCCCAGCACCAAGCTGGGCCCAGTGGCCCGTGGGCACCAAAGGCTGGTGCCTATCCTGTGGCCCAGCTGGCTCCCTGGCTACTCTGACACCTGCCCCACTCTTCCTGACCCTGTAGGGTGGCCATGTGCTCTCTGCCGCCAAGCTGTCATTGCCCTCCATGCCCAGCCGCACATCCATGTCGGAGTCGTCCGTCACAAACCTCCTGTGAGTATGAGCACCCCGGAGCCCCCAGCCTCCAGGCAGACCCCACTGGACCCCTGCAGCTGCCTGTTTTTACTGGGGATAAGTTTTGCTGGTCCGGGTTGGGTTGGGGCAGGAGCCCTGCTCCATCAACTCTTCTTCCCTGGCCAGGCTCCTCACCCTCATCCCACAGAGGGATGGGGTGTGCTGCCCCATCACCCCAAAACCCTACTGCCTGGCATGCCCCCTGGGCTAGCCTACAGCTGTGGGTGGGGCTGGCTGCCAGCTGTGGGACTGGCCCTGAACAGCAATGGGTGCTCCAGCTCCATCTTGCCCCCTAGGAGGGAGAGTGGCAGGGGCGCATGCCTGGACCTGCAGGTGATTGACACAGTGCGGAGCCGCCGAGACAAGGAGGATGCTGTGATGCACCATGTGCTGCGAGGGAGCCTTTATAAACCCCGCAGGCGGGTGAGCATCCCTTGGGATGTGACAGATGGCTAACACTGAGCATAACGGCACCCTAAATGGGATCAGGGATGGAGGATGCTCCATGGGGCCAGCTGCTCACCCTGTGTCTCTTTGCCTCTCCCTTGGCCAGTACAAGGCCAGCTACAGCCGTCACTTCATCTCTCCAGATAAACAAGAGCGGCAAGATAAAGAAATCTTCCGTCAGAACATGAAGAGGCGGCTGGAGACCTTTAAATCCACAAAACACAATGTCTGCTCTTCCAAGAGCAAAGCCAGGCTGAAGGAAAAGGGCAGGAAAAAGGCAAGTGCCTTCAGTCTCACGCTCCCTCGCTAACTTAGATATTTGGCCTCTCCCAGCTGTGGACAGTGAGGTCCTTCAGTGAGTAGATGAGGTGCTACAGGGCACTGACATCTCCAAAACCACAGAAGAGAGCAGAGACAGGCTCCAGGGCCTTATCTCAGTTCTGGGTGTGCTTTGCATGACCAGTATGGGTACACAGCTTGCATGGACCGTACACAGATACATTATAGTGTTGCATGTCCATATGTTCCCATTGTGTGAGAACTGCCTCGGGTACTTGTTTCCTGGGAAAACATCACTCCCTGGTTGGGAGCCCTGGAGGAACATTTTCAACCTGCCACAGGAGCTAAAAACTTGTTTTCAAAGTGCACTCCCTGTAAAGTAGCCTGAACATCATTGCATATCCAGGGGGGTTAGGCCCAGAAGTGTGATATTGCTTCTCAAGTTGGGCCTTTGGTGTCTGCCACATTTGGAGGCTTTTGAAGCCATTGCAGCTGGGCTGTTTATTAACTGAGCCATGAAGGTGCAAAATCTAAGGACGAGAAACAACTGGCTGTCAGCTATGAACCAGCCGGGGTGAGAATGTGTGTCCCTGGAGGCTACCATGGCTTGCAGGGCTGTCTGGGGATGGGGCTCGGGGTTTGCACAGGGCAGGTCCCAGACACTGTCTTTTCCTTCACAGAAGGGCATCTCTCTGACCAGCGATTCGCCCAATGGGAAGACGCAAAGAAATGTCCCCTGGCAGGAGGCGGGTAAGGCCAGCAGGCAGGCAAGGTGACGCTCCAGGACCTAGTTTGCAGATCCTGGCAAGGGAATCTTGCTGGGCCAATTGGGATGGGATGGGAGCAGCAGCCCTCTGCACCTGCCTGCTGCCCCACTGCTAGCTTGGTGGTGAGACAGCACCCCAGGCTGGGCTGGCAGCAAGTACTTCTCTCATGAGTGCCAGCTCTCCAGAGGGTCAGCTCACAGGGTGCCCCATCCTTCAACCATCCCCCCACATCTGGCTGCAGCTCCTGTCTTGGTGATGGTCAGCTCAGATGAGGAGGAGAGCAACAGCTCGGAGACGGAGAGAGAGGACGATGAGGGGATCGTATTCATCGCTCGAGCCACTGACGAGGTCCTGCAGGGAGAGAAGACTCCCAGTAAGGACTAGCACTTCTGCAGTGGGCAGGGGAGCAGCCTCCATGTAGTTTGTCTTTCTTCCACCTGGGGGGCTAAGCTGACCTTGGCCTGGGCAAAACCAAAGTCAAGGGAGCAGCAAAGGGAGAGTTGCTCTCCTCCACAGCCCTGGAGGCATGGCAGAGCCTCCCTGGGCGTCCTGGCAGCTTCTGCATCCCTGAGTCATCTGGAAAGGCTCCCCATTTGGTACCGCTGGCCGTAGCAGTGTTTTCAGGGCAAGAGCCTTGCAATATCCTTCTCACTGTCCTCCTTTCTGCATTCCAGGCAGCCTGGATGTCTGCCCCAGCCCCTGCATCATCCCGCCATCACCCACCTTGGCAGAGAAGGAGCTGCCGTGGAAAGGAGACCAGGCTGATCTAGCTGTTTATGTTTCCTCGGAAACCACCAAAATCGTACCAGTGGATATGCAGAAAGCTTGGAACCAAAGCATCTCTTCCCTGGAGAGCATTGCCTCCCCACCAGGCATTGAGACAGGACCCCAGCACAAGAGATTTGCTTGCCCAGTGCTGGAGGAGCAACCTCAGTCTGCCAGTCAGGCGATGCCAGAGCAGAGCTCCTGCTTCCAGTTCCCCAGCCATGTCTCTAAGAGCAGCAGGTCACAGAGTGACAGCAGCCCGGATGGCACTGAGCAGCAGGAGCTGCAGCCTTTGATGGCTGCAGAGGAGCCGAGCAGGATACTGCCCTCCATGGAACCCAGGTGGCTCATCCAGTTCAACAGAGCGAGCCAACTTTGAGGCAGACTGTGGATGGGGAGAGGGCTGGAGAGCTGCAGACAGGCTGCAACCAGTTGGCTGCTCTGCTGTCTTGCTTTGTAAAGCTTGTATATGTCTCAGTAAACTCCACAAGTGGCAGGAGAGCCTGGTACTCCTGCTGGAGCTGTGCTCCAGGCTGGGCTTTGCCCGCACACCTACCAGTGCAAAACTGGTAGGTAAATGAGCTTTGTGCTGCAATAGCGGGTACCATCCACCCAGGGAGGTGCGGACCCAAAACCTCTTTCTTCCTCTCCAGTTCTTACAATCCTTGCAGCCCTGGGAGGCCAGATCTGTTCTTCCCAGAGCTCAGATCCCAGCCTGAAGTGATTTCGCCATGGCTGTGCCGCCCCAAGGCCTGGGGGATTCTGGCTGACAGGGTGTGGCTGCTCACAGGTATTAGGGCACAAGCTGATTTTACAGCCTGTCCATGCATAGAAGGCCTCCCAGGCAGAGAGCAGGGAGTGGAGGCCAGTGCATGAGAGATAGCCCATCCCCATAAAGTGACTGAGCCATTGGCTTCAAGGCCACCATAGTGTTGTTTTCCCTAGAGCAAGCATGGATCTTGGCCATGAGGCAAGAGATTGGCTCCTTTCCATGGCAGCTCTGTGTTCCTCGTGTTATGGACGTACCACGGAGGCAACGCCTTGACCTTCTCAGGACTGGGAGCTGTGCTCCTGGGGATCGGCTCCACCGGGAGCCAGACTCCTGGACGCATACGCACAGGGAGTCTCCTAGCACCCAACCTGCTGTCCCAACCTCACACCATTTGTCTGGATGTGTTCCTGATATCTGCTGCTGTTCAGCTTTCTGGCTTTGATAGGAGACGGCTACCCTGCACAGTATCCTGAGTATTCATCCTGCCTGCATCCCGATTCCTCTAGTTGCCTGGAGCCCATCAGCCAGGAGGGCCGACTGCAGTATGAAGAGGGGAGCAAGTGGGACAAGCAGCAGGTATGAATGTACATTGGGAGCAGGGGCAAGGGGAAAGAGCTAAGTGCGTCCTTGAGGTGGAAATGGTCCATGGAGTATCCCCAACTCTCTCATGCTAGCCCAGGCCATGGGTGGGGGGGGGGTCTCCTGTGCCCAGCTGCAGTGCTTGAGCTTTTGTGTGGACAGCCTGGGCCAACATGAGCAGGTGGGGATGCTCCTCTTAGGGAAGAACGGTGACCTGGGCTGTTAATTCCAAATGTTAAGCCCATGGAGCTGCTCCCAGTGGAGCAGGTAAATAACTGCCTGCTCCAGCCTATTTGGGGATGCTGAGCCAGCAGGTGTCGAGGGGACACTTAGATGTGCTTGGTAAGCAGTGCTGTAGCCCAGCACGGGGCAAGCGAGCTGGTGGTACCCACTGGTACTGTTAGCACAGCTCAGCAAAGGCCATTCTGCTCTGTACCTGTTCCACCAGCTTGAGTGTGAGGTTTTTAGAAGGTTTTTATATAGTTTTGCATTTCTTGTATGCCTTATTCTGGTTTTGATTTCTGATATTGGGCCATACTAAATCTCTAGTTGGGTCAGTGTTTTCTGTAGCCATGGGCACCACAAATGGCTCAAGGCTTATCTTATTTGCAAGAATATTGTTTTAATGTGAAAATATATGCAGACTATTTTGTAATGTTCAATAAATCAGAGTTGGAGCAGGTATCACCATCTGGTCTCACTGCTGTCTGGGAACATTTGCATATCTTGCTTCCTACAGCTCCTGGTTTGGTTCTCCCTTACAAACACCACATCCCCATGCCTCTCTGCTCTTCTCCACCCTAAGACACAGCTCGCCTCTCTGATTTGATATGCCTAATTGGCTTTCCTAGTTCAATGATGTTTGCAGAAAAATGTGAAATTCTTTCCAAACAGAAGCTTACCTGCAGGCTTGCTGCAACACCTGACCCATTGTTAGGTCATGTCTCATTCAAGCATCCAGAAAGAGGCCAGCAGGCAGCCTGTTGTCTCCAAGTTAGCTCTGTGCTGCTGTCTTCCTAATGGCATTTCTTGCTGAGCATCATGTTTGCCTGCACAACAGCCCAGTGCTGAGAGCCCAAATCTTCCCATATGCCTACCTGCCTCTACAGATTTGACATCTCTCTGAGGTCCCTGGTGTCATGAAAGAAGACCCCCTGTACTGTTGCAATTTTTGGAGAAGCACCATCCCCAAAGAGCTTTCAGCACCTTCTGAGATGTTGAAGCTGTGAGCACGTCCATGCTTCCTACCTCTTTGCCAAAAAACATGCTACAGTTTTCAGATAGGTCTATTTCAGGGTATTCTCGATCACAGAAACCTCTCAAACTGATGAGCTCAAATCAGTGCCACAAATCCAACCCTGAGAAACCCTTCTGCAGCTCAGCCTGAGTTGCTGGGCAGCTGCATCTTTCTATGCCAGTAAAGGCTGGTAACTTGCCTCGTTCTGTTGGCCACACTCCTTCTAACAGAGCCCCAAATACGGTTTACCTGAGTCACGGGACCAACATTTTGCTTATACTCAACTTGACATCTGCCATCATCCCTAGGTCCAAAGGGTCCAAAGGCAGGGTCACCCCCCCAGGTCCAGGTCCAAATGCAAGGTCCCTGTACAGCCCTTCCATTCCTGGCCCCAGGATCTTTGCACTGCTCCCAGTTGAACCTCTTGCTCCTTCTGATTTTCCCGTCTGCCCTGCATCCCAATGTCACAGGGATGCTGGCCAAGGCGGGCTTTGTGTACTGGACCTTCATGCTGACACATTGTCACAGACCAGCAGGCAAGAGTGAGCCTCATGGATAGCACAGCCCTGACTACAGCAGGTGGCGCTGGTGCATCCCACTAGTCGGCAATCACTTCAGGCCTATGGCCTGAAGACACCACACTGCAGAGCTGGGTGGGAATGTAGAGAGAAGAAAATGAGATGACACCGCAAAAACTCTCAACTACAGTAGAACGTTGGGAAAATTAGTGATAAAGATGTAAAACAAGAAAGTTGTAGGGAATAATGAAATCTGATTAGATAAAAGATAATTTGGCTTGTAATTGGTTTAAGCTGCTACTTTCAGGGGGAACAATGGGGAGAACTATAAAAGATTAATGCCCTCCTATGTGGGGTGGACTCTGCTCCGGACAGCCGGACTGCCCCCAGGACTGCCACCTGGTGAAAGGGGATGCCTGCACAGTGATTTCTCCATGACCAGCAGGACACTGAGGGATGGGAATCCATAAGACAGCAACTTTGTTGCAAACACAAAGAACATCTAGAATTATCTTTTAGTGCTTGGCTGTAGTGAGTTAGGCTGAAAGATCACAATGTAGGAGTGAGCAATAAATACTCATAATTAATAGCTGTGTTGCACTTGGAGTCCTTGCTCTTTTATGGTTCCCCTTAAGTTAGTGAGCATCTGAAAGAATCCTGGGGGCGGTGCCATCCTTGGTGCAATGCCACACACATTCACCTGTGAGGATCAGGCTGTTTTGCTGGAAGGGGTGGGGCCATGACACTCAAGTCCGCAGAGGAGGAAAAGGAGAGTCTCAGCTTTGGGAATCACCAGGCCTGATTGCTGGTGCCTCATGCTGTTATTTGAGCCTAGCAGCTAATGTGTTTAAGTTGTATGGCTGGCTCTGGAACCAGCATGCAGAGCAGTTCTCTGCAGAGATGTCAAACTTGCTGGTTCAGATGTGGTTGCTGACTGTCCAGGTTCCCCCCTCGAGGTGTGGCACCACTCCAGGCTCTCCATTTTACCATCCAGCAAATAGAGAGAATGGAGCACCCTCCTCCTGCCCTCAATCCAAGCCATGCTGTGACTGCACAGCTGCCTTCCATGGACAGTGGGTCCTGCCCTGCTACACCCTCCCCAAAAGTTTTTGTCAGTATTTATGCTCACACTCCAATCTCTCTATTTCCCTTTACCACAACAGATAGCAGGCAGGATCCTGACTGCACAGGACTGCTCTGATCCTTCCAGCACAGCACAGATTTGTCTCTCCCAGCCTAAAAATATTAACGTGCTTCAGTGGAAAAACACAAGAACCAGGCCAGACCACGAGAACATGTGCCCAAACCTCTACTTCTCCAAGACAGAGTAAGGCATAACCAAAGGAGCTGCTTGCCAGACTGTAACCCAGAACTGGCTGTTATTATAAGCAATCCCATCCCAGAACTGTCTGCGCATTGGAGACCAGTCATTTTGCACACAGGCCTCTCCTTGCTCTGCCATTAGGTCTGCACATTTTTTCCATGGTGATTTACCTTCTCCAATACTTAGCGTCTCCAGTTTCTCCTTGGTACTGGCACTCGCAAAGCTAGCAGAATTAGCAGAGTGGCCACATAAGGCCACTCTGGTAACAGGGTATCAGCTGCAGGCTGGCTTCTATGGAAGAGCCAAGCTGTGGGTGATGGATTGCTGCCAGCCATCTCAGAAGGTCACAAGTCACCTAAGAAGCAGCACTGTGCAGTTATCTTAAAATGATGGCCTTGTCATTGCACAATAAATGTTGGAACATTAGATAAATTTTAGGGTGGAAGGGACTCAAGAGGTCTCCAGTCCAGCCCCAGGCTCCGTGCAGGGCTGTCTGCAAAGCTTGAGCACGTGGCTCAGAGCCTTGTTCAGTTGCGTTTGGAAAGTCTCTGAGTATGGAGATGCCACCATCTCCCCATCCCAGGGCTGCACCACTCTCACATCAACAATTTTCTCCTTTTGTCCCACAAGAAATTCCCCTGCTTCAACTTGTCACCCTTGCCTGTTGTCCTTTGAGGGGTATCTCTGAGAAGAGTTGGGCTCTGTATTCTCTGCACCCACTTTAAGTAGTGGGGTAACTCCCCTCTTTGCCTTTTTTTCTTAGAGCGGAACAAACCCAGTTCTCCCTGCTATATCAATCCCTTTTTGTTCTGAGGAGCACAAAACTGTACCCAGTGTCCAGATATGTCTCACAGGTACCAGGTCGGGAATATCCATTTCTTTGGGCCTGCTGGCTTCACTTTCTACATTGCAGCAAGGGTGTTGTTGACAAACAGGGAACCTTGCATGCTTTTTCTTTCTGCTCCATTTTTGGAACACTTTTGACACCCTTATGTGACATTTTCAGGTTGACCTGTACAAGCACAAGCGGTGGGAAGCCAGTGACCAAGCTTCTCACCTCCCACCTGGTCCAGCTTTTACGACAAGCATGAAGTGTAGCAGACACCTCGGAGTTGCTTACATTTTCATGCGAGAGCAGCAGGAAGGCAAATGCAGGAGAATTCAGGAGATGTGTTCGGTCCGATTATATCCGGGTACACACATTTTGAGTTCTTTGCTTCTTTCTGCTCCTGTCTGTCTGTCCAGGAATCCTGCTCACCTGGTTCAGTGTCCAGTGGGTCCTCCTGCATCTTTCATAGTCTCCTATAACTTATTTCCCAGGGTCAGCTGAGCCGTCAGGATGGTCCTGGAAGCTGTGACCAGATGTTACTGGTCTGTGTTATGGGAGGTCAAAGGGGATCATGGTGAGGTTTCTTTTGCTCTAAAGCTCCCAAAAGGAGTTTCTACCAAGGGGCGGGACATGAAATTCATGGTACAGGATACCCCACTGCCAGCCTCTGCTCTGCAGGATTGCTTGTTGGATGCTGAACAGTCATGGCACTAAATCCAGCTGATGCCACTGTGGCTGCAGCTCCTGAGGCAGAATGACCTTACAGATGGGAAGGAGCTGGCTGACCTTCTCCTTCAGCCTCTTTGGGACTAGCTATCTGCAATTCCCATGCCTTATTTGCCTTCTGTCCACAAGCATCTGCTAGCAGTTGCCCCAGTGAAAGCAGTGAAGCTTCACGTTGTTAATACTGGGCTTTACACTGCTGTTAGACACTATCCCTGCTGAAAGGAATGAGACGTTCTCCTCTGGGTGTTCTTGTCTCTGGCTGTCCGTAGATTCCCACAGATGTGCCCCCCATAATGTGCCCAGGTTTTCTGTGCATGGTACTGATTCTCAGGGATTTCTTTGAAAAAGCCTAGCATTGGCTGTGGAGCACAACCCCTTTCCAGCAGTTCAGAATCTGACCCTCAGCCCCTTCCAGAAGGACTGGCAGATCCTGGAGTGACTCCCTGCAGTGACAGCAGAGGAACAGGAACTTCATGGAGATCTTTGCAGCTGGGGAATGGGATGCATGGTGGGACTTTACATAGCTTGCAGGGACCCTGGGCATGCAAGGCTGTCACACATGCTGCTTCCATCTACCCATTGCACCACTGTCTCCTGAAATTACCTTCTCTTCAGGCCAAATGGCAGGTCCTAGCATGACCGAGCTGATCCCCACTTTGCCTGGCAGGCCAGTTCAGGAGGGGCACGGGGTATGGAGAAGTTACACCTCCAAAAAGAGTCTGTCCCAATCCTTTTGAGCTTCTGTGCCCATTTTTCTTCCATCTTCCCCTGCAGGCCTGGCTCTTCTGTGGGAAGTCCACAGGTAGTCCACCTTGCACTACATGGGCAAAGTCCCCTGAGAGGAGCATTGAGAGGGGTCTTAGCTCTGGTAGTACTGTTAAGGCCCACCCTGTCCTTAAGTGAGTGGATGCCTGCCCCTGCATGGTACAAGACAATCTCAGTTCCCCTATATTCTTTCAATAAAATGGATCTGCCTGTGAGACACACCCAGAGCTGTGGGACCACTGCAATGGAAGGGCCATGTCCACCAAATCACCTAAGCCAGACA